TATAGAACAATTAAGATCTTTGTGAATATTGAGTGAGTACAATTTAAATTGGACCACACGAGCAATTCGTGTATTGAAAATCATTCATTAAGCCTATCAAAGCAATGAAATATAAAGCAAGACTTTATTCAAGTAGAGCATGCGACTATCATTAGAAACGTCTGTCTATTATCATCTAGACAAAATACAGTATTCATTTTAACCTGGTCAAATATAACTCCCAGAATAACTGAGATCAGAATCTCCGCACGTTTTTCTGTTTTCTTCCGTGAGTTTTCCAAGTCTTTGCCCCTTGATAAGTGCCAATCTTACTTGTTTTATTTATAGAGCGAACAAACATAAGAGAGACCGTTCAAACACCGAATCTATTTCCCTGACATTTCCTATTCGTGATATTACATTTTATAATGAATCAACAGTATGATATGTCATTTCACCCCAGGGTCAGGAGGGGAATATTTATGTTAAATGTCAAATGAAATGAGCTTTTTTGCGAGGAAGTAACATTTGCAATTTCGTCCTCCTAAGTGAAATGAAAACATATTTAGCTACTGTGGAGGAATATATTAGGTTTTATAATGAATTCGAATTATAGAAATGAAACATGGCGTTAAATTGTCCAACAAAACAAGGTTTTTGTGCCATTTCTTCTCATTATAACGGTAAACGACAAAAAACTAAATTGTCAGGAAAATATTGTGAGATAAACATATCTACGGAAGAGGATGTAGAATATAATCCAAAGATATTCAAGAAAACACATCACGATATAAAATTGTCTTTATTGTACAAAAAAAAAATGTATCATAATTTCATATAAATTTGGTATAAACACAAATTCTTATTGCACTATGTTTCTAATTATGTAATTCAGAAGTCCACGAATGTTCTACCGTGCGTCTACTGTAACAATATGGCAAACCTAATGTATATATTTGTATTGTTTAATTCCATGCGAGTACTGTTATGGGCACTGTTGCTGGCACTTCTATTTGTAAAATGTAAATTATTTTGAACATCATGAGCAATCTGTTTAATGCATATCAACATATTTCAGATAATTAGCTTTTAATTAAATTAGTAATTTCTAGTTATTTACTGATTGTCTGAAAGTAATATTTCAATCATATGTTCAGACTTGATACACGATTAATTAACTTTGTAATATTTAAACTATGTTAAAGTCGACCCAATGGTCGTAGATGTGAAGCATGTTTTACAATGCGATGGCTATTTTTTTTTCTTCAAATTAAAACACTTGCCTTCAATATTTCACTTTTTCTATTGTATGGCATTTATGAGAATCATCACTGTTAGCTTGACACTATCAAGTGATATTTTCTATTATGCTATACAGGTCATACTATTTTCATGTTCACACGGGAATAGTTGTATACACAAACAGATAAACAGATTCTCCCATTAGAGTAACCTCGTGAATTTTTAACATTCTATCAGAAACTCATGATGACCAATCATGTGTAGAGTACACCGATCAAACTATGTATATCATGGTTTGATTTCGTACCGTTTATTTTAGTGACTTGAAATACAGCTTAACAGGTAACGCACAGGGAGACAGGGTGACAATTCCCCCCTTCCTGTATACCAGCTCTATCTTTTTAAGTGGATTTATAATTGTAAACCTCTCCTTAAATATCGTTAAACAGTTTTTTCAACCATTTAAACATTAGATGAGCATCACTTGATGTATAAAATGAAATGACACTCCGACCCCGCTAAAAAAAGAAAAAAAAAGAAATGAGCATGTTATAGCATACGTTATATAATGAACGCTCTGTCACACTGTGTTTAATGAAACATTATAACAATTTAACGTATATGCTTGCAAATTTGGGTAATGATGTTATTTTTGATATTTTCAGCCACGTTCAATTACCTATAATAATTTACAGAGTAAATATATAGCGGTTGTGTGCTTTTACCGTATATAATATTTGTATTCTGTGATATATTACCCAATAGCAGTACTGAGCAAACATTGATACAGCGTGAAAATACATCTATTGTATGGCAAAAGTTTGAAAATTTACCATTTTGTATCATAATGCAAACATCATATGTAATAGTGTCCGCTGGTATACGTTTATGACATTGTACGGCATTTTCTAAATCATGTTCAACCACTTGTTCTACCTATCCCAGGACATTACAGACACTAAATACATTACATCGGCAGTTTTTGTCTGCAAAGCTTCATAGAATATCCAGGCAATGCATAAATAAATATATAATTGATTCCATCTGGCTAAATAGAGCAATATTTGAATATTTACAATATTAAGAGGAATCGCTGGAGTATAACATCAAAATTTAGATTTAATAGGGAAATACAAGTTTGGTTAATTGTCTATTAATATTAATTTAATTCGTTAAGGAAGCAAAGTTGGCTTACTTTTTTCATTAATATCTATACATTCGTCAGTTAAAAGGAATAAATTTGACTCGTTGCCAACAGTAACTGATAATAATATATGGCGTCATTTCTCTTCCCAGCATAAATAAATATTGTATAAAATAATGATTAATAATCTAATATATTCTTTATATAATAAATATAATATGTCAGATAACATCTTAGCAAACAGAAGCTGTTGCAATAGTTAGAGGGCGCTGTGGAAGACAATGTATGTTCAAGTTGTGTTTTAAAGGAACTCAATTGATGTACAAAAGTCTTAACACATACAATTCTACTTAAATCAGTTGAAATACTTAAAACATATCATTGAAACATACTTAGAATTGAATTGAAAATCGTATTTATGCGCTATTTATAGTCCGATCTGATTGAAAAGCGGTCACAAAACGAATAATTATTGTTTAAAAAGGAGGATTGAGCAAATGATGTGAAATTTTTCAAATTAGTTATTGGTGTAGACCTACATCATCTGGAAAATTGATCTCGAAAAATATTTACAGTCCCATTATGTCAAAAAACCTCAGTCATTTTATAATAATGCAAGTTGTTTATTTCATTTTATGGCAGTGATGGTTTTTCTTGCTCGTTTTAATGGAAATGGCTTGTCTCCATCAATTACCATTAAATTTATATTCCTCAACTAAAATAAGGTCAATATTTTTTGGAGAAAAGAACATGAAATTAATTAATTATGAAATATGTTTTATTATAATTATCACAAATAATATAGTATTATTATGTGTTTTTGATAAAAGCGTGTTGTGTAAAGTAAAATAAAATATATTTCCATTAAAAATTAAAGAAAACAAATTGTTTTTCAGAAATTTATAACAAAGATCAACTGATTTACGACACATAAATCTTTTTTTTGGATTAAACAATTTATAGGTATGAAACATGAAAAGGGAATCAATCAGTCTCGTTTCCAATTTTGATGACTCAACACTTTTATGTGACTATTTTTGAGCAAGTAATGGAACATTTAAACAGGAAATGTCAACGTCATTTAATAATTTAATTACGATGTCATTTCATTTATACATATCCAATTAACTAGATGTTTATTGATACAAAACCAATAAAAAACATTCACGAGACAATAAAAACTCATTTATAAGCCACGAGATAATATGAAATACCATTTTCATTACTCATTTTATTTTAATATTTGATAGCACACCAGACTATGTATCTATATACACAACGCAACAATCCGAACTGTGTATCTATGAATATTTGTCACTTTATAACTGCTCTTTTCCCCTAGATTAATCACGTGATTTGTGTTGCATTTGTTTGTTTTATTTCACAGAAACGAAGCAAATTGTGACAGCGCTGACATTTGATCAATGTTGCGGCAGTTTTGCAGCTTCATATTGCATACCAGTATTTCAGAAATCCCAGATAAGGCTTTATAGAGAGGAAATTACGATAAAATCTTATAAATTATGATTTCATTCCAAATTATAAATAAATAAGCGGAATGCTGAGAGAGAAACATTCAGCCATCGTAGATAAGTTTGCAGAAGCCTTATGTATATATTTTATTGCAATGAAATCAATTTTCCTAATAAAACCGAGAGAGTTGCACATCTAAATTATTTATCAGGTTGTTGTCATTTGAAATATAACAAAGGAAAATGAATTGCTTTTCGTAGGTTCCAAAACAAGTCTAAATAGTAAAAACTGAATGTTAATTAACAGTTATGGAACAACACAACATAACACAACAACTTTTAAAGACAAGCGATTGTATACCAATTTAAGATTCTTCTTTATTGTATATGTCTTATTGTATTGGTTATAACTGTTTGTTTTCTTTAATTCCCATTCCTGATACTATGTCGATTTAGTGTGTTAGCGTCGATACGTTTTTTTTATATTACCATAAAACACAATGATTATATCATTATTTATATTATTCTCAACAGTGTAAAAAGTTCAAGTACTTCAGTACTTCAGGTAAATTCATGCAAATCAATCACTTTTTCCTCGCATTTTTCCCCTTGAAATTTGAATAACATCGCCTATACCCCTTTCAATTGCTCAATTCAAAGCTTTGCCCATTGAAATAAAAAGCATTCAATCAGTATTATTAGGTTTATTCTACCATTAATACAAAAACAGAAAAGCACGATTTATTTGGATTATTTTATGGAGAGCAAACATAACGGAAACAATGCAAACATTGTTTTCATATAATTGACATTCCCACTGTCTGATATTGCATTTTGTATTACGGGCAAAGTTGATGTAAGATAAAAGCTCACAAAGATTGCATATTTTATGTTGTCAATTTACATAACAAATACGCAGCTTCTTATTCAACAACGGACATAATCTGATATTTAAATGAACTTCGACATTACAAATTACAAGCAATGCATAAATAATAAATAATTGCATGATAAATTCATGTTTACCGGAACAGACGATAGCGGTTTATTTAACGAATCTACCAAACACTGTATTGTTTGTTGCAGGGTGGTTGGCACTTATTTCAATCAATTATATTGAATCATTGTATTGTATAAGGAGATAAAAATAAAATAAAACTTACTTATTATTCTTCCTTGCACACAATAAATCCTGAAAGAAAAGAAAAAAAGAATTTATTAAACGAAAGAAAGAACAAGGGCAATGATTTTGATGAAAAGAACGTCTAATACTAGAATAAAATGTGAAAAACTTATCTTTAGGTATCCATGTCCAGAAATAACGTTTAGAGTAAACTGATCAGCATATTTGTTTTAGATATGATATTGTTAAATAGATTACGATAATAAATTGAAATAAGACAATGCTACATTTTAGCGTGTTTTTTTTTTAAATACTCGTATTATGCAGGTAACATGTATATACATGTATATGTTCTTTTATTAGGAAATTACTTTTGAAAAAAAGAGAAATTATTTTAATTATATGCAACCTTAACTTAAAGGCTTATGAAATACAAAAATCCAATTTTTAAAGATTTAATTAAGTTGTGTATGCTTTTGAAAGCGAAACGTTTGTTAAGATATATATTTCCAATAATCATGAAGACCTTCGGAGGCAAAATTACAAGTCGCGTTTTCATTGTTCATTTATTCGAAAATAGCAAGTAATCACACAAAAAAATCAAAAAAAATAACAAAAACACTCCCACAAAATGTCCTGGTATTTTAATTTTTGACATTGATATTCTAGTTAAGGATGTTTTTCATGAGTTATTTTGACCGAGAATGTCGTTTATATGACGACTGTTGGATCTCGTATGCAAATATACAGAATATGATTAACCATGCAAACTAGATGTCCTACCCCATCTTCAATCATCTTCGGCGACACAACCAACTTGATATGTTTAAAGTTCAATAAAGTAAAACTGACACAATGTTAGATTGAGAAAATAAGACGCCTTTTAAAATATGCTTCTCTCTAATCTATCACGCAATCTGTCTGATGCCATTTCTAGGATGTCTTATTTCTTTATACTCTTTTCGTTTTTTTTATCTGTTAAGACGTCTGGTTTCATTAAGTAGTTTCAGTTAGTTATACAGATCTTCATTACAAAAGCAACATCAATGTAATACAAAAATGATGTACAACAATAATTATGATTAATATAAGAACCCGCATATCACAAATATAAACAGAATGTAGAACATGCAACAATAACAGTTTAGTGAATACTTGAAATAAAACACACTAACATTATGTGTTTTTATATACTTTGGAGAAGAAAAAACACCAAGAATGCCTTTATCAATTCATGAAAGTGCGAAATTTCGATAAAATTTATATATAAAAATGATAAGCTTGTTGAAGACAGATATTCATCTTTACATCTAGAATTTGAATGCGTAAAGCAAGACTGAATTTTTATTTCCTATTCATATCTGCAATCATATGGTTTTGAAATGGATTGACAAATCTTTTTTTCATCGAACAAAACATAAAAGAACATTAATACTAAAATATAAACTATATTTTCCTATCAATCAACTTAAATATTTTTGTCTAGCAATGGGCTTTCGTTTCTTTAAAGTGTGTTCTTAAAGGAAATGGATATTTAACTAAACTTCTTATTCAAACGCGCCAAAGAACACTTGTAGCGAGAAAAATCTCAATGGTAAAGAGATAATTACATTTTCTTGGTCTGCAGAAAGCACTCCATTTTTCAGACATTGCATTTTAAGCTCGATAGCAGATTGTTCACATTAGCTTTAAAATACTTCTTAGAAAAATCAATTATGTTTCACATGGTTATTATAATGGTGAGTTAAATCTAATCATGATAATATTTGACATTATAAGATCAAATAAAACTGAAAGAAGAGTAAGGCAACAATAAAAAACAACAGAGAATTAGAGTATTTTCTTCGTTTGTCATGTATCTTCGCTCGAATATTTGCTTCTTTCGTAAGAGATTTTATACGGAATTATAACTATAACAGAAACAATGTAAAAGAAGTAACGCTTGAATGTAAGATTAACGAAACATACATATCTTAATCACACAACTAGAATTTGTTAGTTCATACGAAGAAAGACAACAGAAGTAACAAGAACAATTTAAAATCACATTGTCGGCATGTTTGTTAATATGAACTTTTATAGTAACTGTGGGAAAACGTGAAGCACACTCTAAACATTTCATTTGTTAAGCCTTAAATGTGCACTAACGTTAATTATTTTGTGTTTAATGAACTTCTAAGCGTGATTTTATTACAAATAGGGTGGTGTCAATTTCAATAAAATGCAACCAAAATGACAATCATGCCATGAAATACATTTTAAGATGAGTGCATGCATTCATACAAACGTATTTTTATTTAAAATCATTTATTAAAGACTTCTCGAACAGTTTATCAAAATGCCTTTCATACAAACCATTATTGCAATCTTTATTAAGCGCAAACATAAAATGGAAATGAAAGCGTGCCCTGTTTCCGTAACAATAAATCTGTTCTGTTAAAAGAGTACTTAAAGAATAACAAAATCGAATTAAAACACGTGTCATTTCAGAGACAATTTTCAATGAAGTGTTTAGGTCTAATGGAAGCGTAAGTGATTGATAACATGTATTTTTAGGCGAAATTTTGTCAAACAAATAAAATCTATGATTCTGTTGTCAATTTAAGATCGAATCTCGCCAGAGATATAGAAGAAGGTATCTACAAGCAGTAAGCCCACTAACGTTGTTATTGTACCTTGAATCAAGAGGTCTTCATCCACCAGAAAAAAACTAGAATGTCACAATGCAACAAGCCCCAATCTAAAAATATTATTAGGAAAGTAATAAAATAAACCCAAAAAGAAAACCCACGACAATTCCAAAATAATAATACTTAGTAAGCAACAAAACCGGCGGATAAGTAAACCCAACGAGCAAAGGGTATATACGGTTGGTTTGCAAACACTATCTGCAAACATCGTATATAAGAAGAAGCTTAGATGTTATTTTTAATAAAAGTTTTGTCTTTAGAAATTCACGCCTCATTTTGATACTTGAAAGAGTAACATCAAAATTGTATAGATTTTGAATAAACATGATATCTACAAGATGTGTTTTTTTTTTGAAATAATAACAATAAAAGAGATTCACATTCAAAACTCGCCTACATTTATTGACACGCGATAAATCTGATTTTTATAGCGACCTTGACATTAAACAAAGAACGAATGAGATAATAAAATTTTCCATTTGTCTCAGGATATACATAAAGCGGCAATCTAAGAAATGAACAATTCACCTTAAAGCGAGTGAGGTGCTACGTGATAATTGTATTATCATGTCTTTTATTTCGCCGAAAAAAGAGAAAGTGCCGCGTCTGCCAGCCATTAACTGGCAGATATATAAATAGACTTTAAGTGAATGTAATGCCGCAATACTACTGTATCTCTTTACATATATCTATATGGAGTTACAATTACTTTGTACCAATCGCTCGAAAAAGTATTCACACGACGTCAAACCGAACAATGAGGATTGAGTGTAACAATGGAATGAATGCACAAATAGAGAAAGAATTCATATAGAGGGTTATATTATATAATTACTTAATGCATTTCTTAGATGCCATATATACTTTGTAGCATTATTTGATAAGTTCGAATACATCAGATATGACATCAGATATAACATGTGTTATAGTCTTATATCATAATTTGTAAACAAAGTTTGTTTTAAAATGAAAAAGGGTAGTTAAAATATCAACGAATTATATAATAGTAGTTTGGAAAAAAAACAAACATTTCGTTTAAGTGAAAACAATTATGTTTGACGGTTTTCCGCTGCAATTTCATACCAAACTTTATTTCTTGATGTCACTTGCTTGTTCAATACATATTTGTTTCTTTATTTATTAACCTTACACCTGCTCGAACCAAAAATGATGAGCCTTTGCAATCACTGTCTGCACGTCCATGCATTCTGACCTGACTCTGTACCTCAAATTGCCTACTTTTTGAGTTGATTGTTCAAAATTCAAAAATTGAATACATAAATTTATAATATATATTATTGTGTATGGCAAATAAACTGCTGTAAAATGTCTGCATATATTGCAAAGGCATTACGCTATATGTATATTATAGTATCAATCTGTTTATTTAAACAGTTGCACAAGAAACAGCTGGAAGCAAGGAACTTTACTTATTTTGTTTTGTTTATTTAAACACATGCAGAGAAAAGGAAATTATATATGCAAATTGACTAAGATATAAAAGCAATTCCAATTTGAAAGTTATAATTTTGGAAACTTTTGTTATTCTGTCAAATGTTTCACTTATTGAAAATGCATTTTACTGACAGAAAAATTTCTTTTAGTGAATCTGGATAAATCGTATACTTCTATGTATGCTCTTTTCCACAGCTGGTATAAGCTACAACAGTAGAAATGCATGCATTATAAAGCATTCCGTAGACATAATATTAAAGTTTAATTTATTTCCAACATTCTCTTCTAGACACTAATTTCCTCAAAACTTATTTCTAATCTATATTCAAGATTAACGTTAATGAGAAACAATTCGTATAATCAGATGCTAGCCTGTGCTTTAATCTAAAGCCAAAAATTTAAATTTCTAATGTATAGTCTATTGAAGAAAATTCAATACATAAAACTGTTGGTGTAGATTAAAAAAGTGTTTTTTTTTTTAAAATATTTCTATATATTTCTATAAAACTCAAATATAATCACTTCAAATAAATTATGCTGATTCCAAACATAAACTACAAGGCATCACTTTTAGTTTAAAGTATACTCTCCGAAATTAACAAAAATATCTGTCAAATATTTATAGCTGATTTTGAATAGTAAAAAAACTCTACACTTTAAAAACAATAAAAAAAACACTCACAGAAATCCCATTTACATATATTGTTAAAGTGTCTTTACAAAGAAAAAGCAGACATTGATACTTTAATAAAATTAATTATTGTTTAAACAAGATAAATATATTTCTACAATTTTTGTTTTCAAAAATATCATAAATGCGTATATTTCGCAAGTTCACATAAAAGTTTCTGAAGTGAAATATATACAACAATATTCGTCGATATGTACTATTTCTTTGAAACAACAATACTATTTGACTATACT